TACCCTGTAATCGATCGATATCTACTTTGCAATTGAAATGAATCCCTTTTTGAAATAACACAACTAATTCTGCACAGAAATAACTGTTTTCCACAATACACATTTTAAACAACCTCTCCTTGTCGCGCAAGAGTTGATGCAAAACCGTGCATCGAGTCAATCCAAAGCACATATTTTCATCTCAGAAATGAGTCTTTTTCAGCAACTTTTCAATCGCGTTATAGATGATCCTACTGTACATTATAATCGAAACGTAAAATAACAAAACGATGACGATCTTTCTTTTTCCTCGAACGCAAACTATTGTATTCTTATTACCAATTCTATGCTCTCATCATTAGAATGTTTATGTGACGTGTGTGTCCAGAAACTTCTACAGACACGAAGAAGCTGAGTGCGCATGCGACGCGCGTTGCGAAGAAGAAAAAGAGCAATCAAGGATATATGGAAATATATGGAAAATACCGTGAACACCATTTCTCCAAAGTGCGCAGAGGAGTGGAGGCTATTTCGAGAGTTGTCAAGCAACGATCACTGTCACGGTGGTCAAAACTGCATCTGTGATTTCCCCTCCTCGCGTTGCCACACAACGCCAGACACTGATTCGTCTTGACGCATGCCGAGATCTCTCACGATCTCTCCTAAAATTCAACTTTGCTCCCGATACGATCGTAGTCTTCTCCTCGACGTCGAATTTTTCCACGATATTTATTATACGTACAATGTATAACGATGTTGAACCGTGTCCTTGGAATCTTAAAATTAAAAATGTGCGGAAATCAACAATTATATTGCATCGAAGCGACTGGCTTCTCGAATCGTTAACACGTTCGCGGACGTGAATGCTGTAGCATTCATTTTCGTGGTGACGCAACACGACACGAATTTGATTTCTGCATCGATCGTGGATGCCATAGCGTTCAAATGTGATATTCCGAGCACAAAAATAAAAATTTGGATATATCACGATTATAGTTTGAAACTAAATCACTTGTCTTTCTTTGCAGCTCGATAAAATTTTTACTTGTTAATCGCCACCGTCTGTCACATTACGAAAATACCAGGAAAGAACGGATCCTGAAAAATCTGAAGACTCTTTCTGTGGATTCGTGAACTCTGTCGCGGTTGAGAGGAAAAATGGTGAAAAAGGGGGGAGAGGAAAGAGAGAGAGCGCCGTGTCTCGCAGTCTCGCGAAGATAAAGAAGATGACAAAGGCACGGTGGAGTGTCCAGGCTTGGCTCATAATTTTCCCTGGGCGTCGGGCGACGCGCGACGTGTACGTGTCACCGCGTCGCGACGAACCCGTCCGTCTCATCGCGACTGGAACACCAAAAACCAGCCTCCGACTATTTTATTACCGTTCTCGAGAGATTCCTCTCCGTCTCCTTTCTCTCTCTCTTTCTTTTTTCTTTCTGGCTCCGACTCCGTAAAAGACATCGAATGCCTTTTGATTTAAGTGCAGCCAACGAGGCTCTCCCGAATCGCGAGCAAGTGATTTTAATAGGATAGAAATTACTGAGAAGTAATGAATTTATTATTTGTTTTGCCCGGGTTATACTTAAATATACTTAAAACTATGAAAATATTGCAATTTTTGAGATAAACAATTTTTGACGTGCGTGGGATGTCATTCAAGCGCAAGAGGCACGTTAAGAATTGTTTGTCCCAATATTTTCTCAGTTTTAAGTATATTTAAGCATGACCCGGGCAAAGCAAATAATAAATTTATTACTTCTCAATGATTTCTATCCAGTGACATCATACCGGCGAGTTTAAAAGAAAAAGAAAGCGACAAATTATTGTATACGGTTCGGTCACTCGTTATGGTCCGCAATCAGTTGCCAGAGGTTAAGCACTTGCGCTGGAATGACGCAAGGAGAGAATTTTTTGTTCCAAAAATTGCAATATTTTCTCAGTTTTTAAGTATATTTAAGCATAACTCGGGCAAAGTAAATAATAAATTTATTACTTCTCAATGATTTCTATCCAGTGACATCATACCGGCGAGTTTAAAAGAAAAAGAAAGCGACGAATTATTGTATACGGTTCGGTCACTCGTTACGGTCCGCAATCAGTTGCCAGCGCAAGTGGTTAACCTCCAAAATTGTATATAATAATATTTTCTCAGTTTCAAGTATGTTTAAGTAAAACAAAATAGGCAAAACAAATAATAAATTTACGTCTTACTTGTCAATAATTTCTATCCAATGATATCATACCGTCGAGTTCAAAAAAAAAAAGCGACGTATTATTGTGTACGGTTCTGGTCACTCGTTATGGTCCGCAATCAGTTGTCACCGCAAGTGGTTAAACTCTTGCGCTGGAATGACGTGCCACGCACGTCGAGAATTGCAATATTTTCTCAGCTTTGAGTATATAACCCAGGCAAAACAAATAATAAATTTATTACTTCTCAATGATTTCTATCCAGTGACATCATACCGGCGAGTTTAAAAGAAAAAGAAAGCGACGAATTATTGTATACGGTTCGGTCTCTCGTTATGGTCCGCAATTAGTTGCCAGCGCAAGTGATTAAATGTCGGCAAATCTTCACGAATTTTCAATTTATTTCGAAAGGGGATTCGACCTGGTTTCGAATATCGAAGAAACTTGGAGCAGCGAGGGAACGGACGCGCGGCCGCGTTTTATTGGGCCAACACGGTTGACAGCAAGAATGACTGCGCTCGTAAAAGCCCCGTATAAATAAAATCGCCGGGAATATAATTGTTGCCGAGAGCCCGGTAGAACTACGGTTCGTTCTACGTTCGTGGCGTATAACCTCGACCACTATTCTCGCTCGATTCGTTTCCTCGAACGTGACTGTCCTCCGTTCTTTCCTTTCCAATTTTGCCCTTCCTGTCGATTGCATTCTCCAATGTTTGACCAATAACTCGAGTTTCGCGACTCGTCGCGCAATTTCCTGAGACGCCCGACACTCGTACGACGCGGCTCCCGTCGGATTCCAACATCCGGAGAATGCAGACTGTTCAGCGCGTGTCTTCTGTCCTGTATCAGAAAGAATTAAAAATCGTAAAAATTCTCGATATCCGTTTCTGTTAATGAGAAAAAATGCTCGCGCAAAAACGTGAAAAACGTTTCACGAACCGACTAATTTGAATCAGCGGTGTGAATCTTCCTTTCGCGGAAGACGAAGACGTGTGGAGTAAGAGGAAGGATTGGGAGCTCGTGTTAGGGCGAAATTGTTACTCGACACCCTTGTGTAACGAGAGTCAGGCCGCAGCCAATGAAGAGGACCAATGTTCCGGGGCATAAAGAAGCGTGTCCCTGAAAACTGAAAACCGAAACCACCATGATACTGGCGCCTCTTGTCATCTCCAAATTGGCAGAAAAAAAAAAAAGAAGAAGAAGAACTTAATTTAGTTCCATTTTATTTCCCCCAATTTAAAGTTTTAAACGAATAAACTCGACGTTACGAGTAATTTGAAATGGTCTGTCTCTTTTGCAAATTCGTTGCCATTTTTTCTAAGATGAAATGAGACGATCGTTTCGTTTAGATCAGTCGATGGTACGCGCGATTTATTTTTTTTTTTTTTAATCGCCAAGGGTTGCAGCCAGAAAGCAGCCGTGCTATCATTTAGAAACCAATGAGCATCAAATGAAGGTGGAGCTTGCCGAGGAAATCTCCACCTACTCTTAAAATTCTCTATTTCTCTCCTCTCCTGCGTGCGTGTCTCCCTGTACAAAAGGAGGAACGAGAGACAAAATGAGAGTGGAAGAAGGAAGGAGAGGAGTAAGTAAGAGAGCTCGAGAGAGAGAGAGAGAGAGAGAGAGAGAAAGAGAGAAGAACGAAGAGGAGAGACAAATGAAGAGGCTGAGGAGGATCTTCAAGTACGTTTTAACTCGGCCAAGTCAGTTGGCATCTCGCCGCATCAACTAATACGATGGCTTCGTTTCACCGTTTCCCAAACGATCTTCCGCGAAAGTCGATCGACCAGTTGTGATTTACGCGCGTCCGGATGAAAGCAATCGTTTGCGAACTTTAGCAACGAGAACGGGACCGAGAACGACTCGTAATTTTATAGTGGGTGATAGTTCGCGCGTGTAAAACGCGTAGCTTTATTTGCTTACATGAGACAATTTTCATCTTTTGGCAACATCGTCGCTGAGAAGGCAAATCTTGTCATCGAGAACGTTCGTTAAAAAGAAAAAAAAAAAAAAAAGGAACTCCGTGCATAGTGCTCGTGACAAAGGGTTTCTTAGTATCTACATACTATCGCCTCTTTCTGCAATGATAGTTGAAAGAAATTTTTTCCAAAATTTGAAAACAGCTGAGATAGAACAACTCTTGTAACTCATCGAATCGGACACGCTTACAGATTCTTTATAGTCTCTGCGCTAGCCACCGATTTCCCTTGCTATTTAAGCGATCTAAGCTATTAACGTCAGAAGATCGTAAAACGTCCGGAAGAACAACTGATTTACGGAGTACATTTGTTACATATTGTTATTGCAAAGCGTAAAGAACTGATTTAAATTGCCAGTCTTACGAGGCGGAAACGACGTTTGTATAATATGATAATTGGAGCAGCACGGTTCTTTTTTCTTATTTTATCTAATTTACATATCTCTAGCTGGTCGATTTGATGCGAAGGAAGAGAAACAGGTACTATCCTTCCCTGCTCGTACAGAAACTGAAACAAATTATAATTGACGATCGACTGTTAATAATTATACGCTTGGCAAAATTTGCACCGTGAAAAGTGCGTATAAAAAAATGTTAATATAAACAACAGAACGACGTTAGTCAACGCTCTGGCATTTTAATCGCTCACATTCTAGAAAAGTATTTAGCAGAGTATGCTAAACAGCATAATCGTTTGGAAATAACATCTGGAAAATAGTTAAACAAAATAGTGTTTACAAACGAAACATACGAAAAACATTTGCCAAAGACGTTGGAAGCATTGTGACTCGTCTGAGACATCAGGCTTCCACCGAGATTTCCACAAAAGAATTACACGTGACACCGCCTGATCGTATATCTCCAACATCAAATAACTCAATTTCAAAAAATCAAGGAGAACGAGAAATGTTATCTCGCGAATCTGCAATTAATTCGTCAACATTGCCGCGAATTTACCCCTAAGTACTACATTCTGTAATTTCTGACAATTCGAAGTTCGAGGTGCCAACGATCGAAGACAATTTCTTTTTTTCAACGAATAGAGAACGATGTTGTGCGCAAGTTCCGACCAAGGAGGAAACAACAGCGCGATCGTTTCGCAAATGACGAATCCTCACACTCCGCAAGATTTCACGGTCTCGCGTTTGCTGTCAACGCCGACTAATTCGATAGGTAAGAATCCCGGATAAGAATTCGCGGTCGAGGACTCGCGTTCGAGACCCGCGTGCGAACGCTTACATAACGGAACGTTAGAGGTTCAAATGCAATTGGAGATCACAGAGGACAGGGAAACTCGCGTGAGCCACGCTTGACGCGTTTCAATCCGTGGATGTGCCTGATTCCATCGAAATCACGCATTTCCAGTCATGCTGTTCGCGTTATACCGCTTTGATGAATAGCCAGGCACAGTGGAGTCATTCAAGAATAGCCACGCCTGTGCTGCTGCCTCTCTCCTTGACTCTTCTTCGTCTCTTTTTTTCGTAGCGCAGCTTTCTTATCTCGGACGGCATATCTTGAAATATCTCGCTCACGAATTTTCACCTTTCAAGCAAACTCCGTGCAAAGCACAGCGGTTTCGGACGATTGTAGACCAACGTGGCCGTTTCCGTTTTTTTACAGAATGCAACGAAGGTTCCACCGCATCTACCTGCAGGAGGCCCAGAAGAAGCAGAACGACGTTCTCGGCGCAGCAACTGGCCGCGTTGGAAAAAGTATTTGAGAAGACCCATTATCCAGACGCGTTCGTTCGGGAGGAACTTGCAACGCGTGTATCTCTGTCGGAAGCCAGGGTGCAGGTAATGGTCACGAATTTTGAATTTCATGGAGCTAAGCAAAATAAGAACGGCATGTGAAAGATGCGTCGAGTTGCTTTCGATGATTTTTGTGAGAAAAGAGAAAAAAGTATCGTATCGCTGGCGGGCCAAGTTCACACACGTGTTTCTTCAGATTTTGGTCGTTAGAAGGGAGGAACACAGACAGACAGACAGACAGACAGACAGAAGAGGAAGAAGTGAAAAAAAGAAAAAAAAAAGAGAGAAAGAAGGACAGAGGACGGAGGTCGCCGCGGATAGCAAAGCAGAAAATCAGAGGAGACAGGTTGTCAGGGGCAAGGAGCTATGATTAGCTTGGCAGGATAGTTGCGCGTCGTTCCAGCAGCATCTGTGCTTGGCATACGACGTATGCTGTACGATACGTCGCGTATCACCACACGTGTGTGGTGACTCTTCTACACGGTTGTGCAGAAAGCACACTACATTTCGTTGCTCTTGTCGATCTATCCGCCGCCACAGGCTCTGCAGCCTGCAGTCCCTCGTCTCCCGCTGATGTCTGTCCATTCGTCTGTCTGCCGTAGACTGTACGGTTGCCAGAAGCCGTCACGCTGTTCCGTCTTCTTCGCTTGCCGGCAACCCTTCTTGTGTCCGTTTGTTTCTTCTTCTTCTCTTTCTTCCTCCGTTCGACAATTACAGCTCACCGCGATCATCCATCCCCCGTTTCTTGGCCTTCCGTTCTTTACGAATACATTCGTGAAAATTGCGCCTCTGTGTCGAACGAAACGAAAACTGAAACTGAACATTTGGAAATTTTACTCTTTAGGTGTGGTTTCAAAACAGACGCGCCAAATTCCGTCGGAACGAAAGAAGCTCTGCGATTAACCGGGGCATTCCCGCGAACAGAGAAGTGGAGGCTACTCTACCAGTACGACCAATCAGAATAACGCACACGCAGGAAAATAACACGGAGACTTTGCAGACGTCTCAAGTCGCGCAATACTCTTACGGCGAGTACTGGAGATCCTCGCAACATTACACTTCCATGCAGACCTCCACCTGCCACGGATTTATCAACGGGAATTTAGGAAACGTCAGTCTCCCTCCGTATCATCAAACAGATATTCACGGGGGACTCGAAGGATCTACGATGAGCAGTTTAAATGCGTTGCGATTCAGAGCACATCCGTACGGTGCCACGTATTCTGCTATGCATGCAAGCATGTAAGAATCTGTCTCTCTCTTTCTGTCTTTGCACAGTACCTTTTTTCAAACCGCGAAGCTTGTCAGTTTCGAACGATACCAAAAATTATAAAATACCAAAGATTTCAACAACATCGTACAAATCGGGGAAGATGATATTGTGTAAAGGACCAGTAGATGAAACATTGCGTAAGAATTAGGGCATAAGCGCGAAACACAGGGTAATGGAAATAACTTGAAACGTTATTTTGTAGAACTGAAGTAGCTTAATAAATGATAAAAATCATAAATATATTATCTGCTTAATATACAAGACATCTATACAGGAAGTAGTATGTTAGTCTACAAAGTCACTATATTATTATTATATGTTAATCATAGAAAAAAAGCAAGACGTACAAATACGAAGATCGAACGATGGAAGAACGGGTCGGTGTACTCGTTGCGGCGAGAAACGCATGTAAAATTACAGTCGTGAAACGAATACGTTTACATTTGATATACGAATGTTTTGGCACGAAATTAGAATACAAATTTCCTAAGTATATTGGTCACACGTATATATTCGTTATAACGCTAATCGAGAACTAGAACCACGTAAAAAGATTCCAAAAATCTCTCATCTTACATATTAGTCATTAGATGTCAGTCATCCGTCCAAAAGTTCTTAATTGTAAAGATTACAAGCGTTAATACTATACAGTTACTTGTACATTTTGTACAGCGTTACTCCAATCTACTTTCGAGGGAACCAAATAAAATGCTGGCGCTATTTTGCTGCCGCATGGACATTGACTACCCGCTATCCAACTGAAAGAACCTAACTTTGTGTTACACTTTGGACAATTTAATTTCCCCTCGACATTGTGCGTTATATCGGGCATCCAAGCTAGCGGCTCGACAAATAATATTTTGGTACAAAATTCGGCTGGCTGTTGCTCTTCTTTTTGTAACGGTTCCAATAATTCATGCGACGTTTTCGATTGTTTGGATGATTTTTTCTGACTTATATGTCTCCAGATTTGCTTCTCCTTTGGCATGTGTGGCAAAATGTTGCTAACACTGGCTATGATCCTCCTACACTTTTTACAACGGTACACCGTTGGCTCTGGATGTACCGTGGCAAGAGCTGGATCTGGTTTTATCAGATCTGCACAATTTTGTGGCAGGATTTTTGCCTTTCGCACCTTGTCCGCTGCAATTTGCAACTTGTACATTTTAAATTGCACGTTGGTATTGTCTACTCCAAATCCCATTTCTTCATAAAGCTTCAACTGTGCCAAGAAACCAGCATTAGGTCCGACAAAGCGTCTCTTTTCCTTTACAGTTTCAAATGTATCGCAAAAACTTTTTTTATATTTTTTCATTAAATATGCGATAACAATTGTAGCTGATCTAGAGACACCAAAATAACAGTGTACCAAAACCTTATCATTTTGCTGTAGAGAATGGTCTATAAATTCATAAGAATCTTCAAAGTGAGTTAAAAGATCCTCACGCGGCATATCAGTAATTTGTATGTACTTTATAGTCAAGTTTGGTAAAAGCTCTTGGATTTTTCTTGGAAGTGGACATGAATCTACTGTGAGTATATAGTTTATTTTAGTTTCTTTTAACCATTCGACGTCTGTAGCAGCTGTAAGATTCCCAAGAAACAAACCAGGAATAATTTCGTCATAGCTCGATGGACCAGCATCAAAATCCTCTCTAATTAGATTAGTAGTTGCTTCTTGCGCCATTGTGATTACTCTGGAATAAAGTATCAAGCTACGACATGTATCTTTGATTACAATTAATTTTATTAGTTATAATACAAAATATATGACATGGTAGATTGAATATAACATTCATAAAATTTCTAAATACGGGGTCTCTCATAAAAATTGATAACTTAAATAAAATGTAACTTCCCTAGTGGTACCAATAGTTGTCCTTGTACGAAATGAATGTAGAATTTCCAAAATCTATTTGTACACATGGAACATGCTCTACATGAAAATTATATTTTTTATTACCTCGCTTACACTCGTATTGTAAGTAATTGCAGTATTTTGAATTGTGGAACTAGTTCTATAAATGTTATCTGAGTAATACGAGAAATAAATCGCAACAGCAACATGTTTTCTAAAAAGTTTTATTGTTCCTTCATGATGCAAAAGCGTTGTTGGCATTAAACACAATATGTTTCGAGATCAGTCGATTTTATATTCTCTGGCAACCTCGTACATCCTCTGCCCATTTTGGTATATTTTGAATTTGTTTCTTTGCTTCTACACAACATAAAACAACGAAAAACACCTATATTCAACAGAACTCTATGCACTAGTTTCAGTTGTCAACGCACGACATTATGATGGCGCTTCAGTAACACTTTTGTCATGGCGCATTTCTAAATTCTAAAACTTCTTTCTTCACAGTGCATGTAAATTCCATGCTATGATTTTTAAATCGAATACATAATTATATTGTAAACGTCGTATATGAAAATTAACATTTTTAATTTTTACGATTTTATATTAAAAATTATAATTTCTTCGATTTTCTTAATGTATACTCAATGACAGATATACAGCTTCTTAGCCATGGATGATTTGGAAGTATCTTATAATAAAGTATCTTGTAATTTGCATCCATGAGATATATCATGTTTCGAAGATGCGCACAGTTTGACAAAAACGAACGATACACCAACAAAAATTGCACCTTCTACTTGAAAGAAGTACACGAATTTTATATTCTCTATCGTATAAAATATTTTTCACTTCTAAATAGTTATGACGAAAGGATAAAAAATAAAGAGAATAATCAAACAGTACAAATAAATTCTGCTGCTTGATCCTATTCATTTTTAAAATCATAAAAATTCATTTCCTTGTTTATCTGTTAATCTTCCTAAAAAATCCAAAAAATAATATATTATCGATTATATATATTATATATATAAATATTCAAAATATGAAAGAGGATATTGTTGAAACTCGACGCTTTCGAAAAGTAGCATCGATAAAGAAAATACCACCAGGTACTGGTAAGAAATGAGATAGAGGAAGTCTTGGCAAGGTGAGAAATAAATATAGTTTTGAAGTAATTGATCTTTGTACTTTTGAAATGATCACGGAATTGTATTGTCCGACCACGTATACCGGAAGTGACGCCGCACCTCGATCTCCACATCATTCAGAGGAGTTGCAAAAATACCGTTTACACAGTGTCGTACAGCCTGGTTGTTCCATGTCTCTCTGGTCTCCTCTCTTTCTCTCCCTCCTCTCCTCCGTCTTTCTCTAGTCGTTAGTATCTCTTGCGTGCGTGCACGTGTGTACATGTAAGTGTATGGGTACCTTTTGATTTTTAAATTAAAACAAGATGCTGGTCTCGCAGGAGGTGGTCTCAAAAGCGGAAGAAATTGCGGATCAGGTAAATCAACAAATCATCGTTGCCCGATATATTTTTGTTTACTAAAGCAAGTTTTCATTCACGGGGAGAACATCCAGCAGAAATCCTGTAGGGATACAGGTGTACTCCTGTCAACGTCATCGCGATACGGTCCCAATGTATATTCACATATTTCGATATGAATTTTCTTTATTTTTGATTATCTGACGATGTAATGCCTTCTCAATGTTGACGAGTGTTGTAAACTTTCTTACATTGCTGTCTGCGCCTTACCAAATTGAAGGTTATGCTCCGATAAGGAAATATGTTTCAATTCAGCAATATTTCTTTTCGAATTAAGTTGATTGAATTAACAAAGATTTGGGAAGTATTCGAGAAAACATTAATTTTTAACGTTATTCAATTTTTGTCTATTTGTATAACGCTTTTGGTACATTATTTCTCAGAAACGTTTATTTGTGTTTATGTAATATTAACATTCATTGAAAAAGAAATCATGTAGACGAATCTTAAGATATTGTTGCGTCACAAGTATGAATTATTGATCTAATTATTATTCTTTTGTGAAAACAGGTAATTCGCAATGGAAAGCACATCCTGCCAACTCTTGCAAGACTTTGTCTCATAGCCACATTTCTAGAGGATGGGTTGAGAATGTGGTTTCAGTGGTCAGAGCAGAAAGAGTTTATGAACAATACCTGGCACTGCGGTGCCTTCTTAGCTACAATATTTGTCCTGGTTAATTTAGTTGGACAGCTCAGCGGTTGTGTCATGGTTATTGGAAGATGGAAAGTCAGCATTGCTTGCGGAATCTTATTTTTCATAGTAGTACTCCAGACACTAGCTTACAATATTCTGTGGGATGTAACGTTTTTATTTAGAAATCTAGCATTGATAGGAGCACTTCTTTTGGTTCTGGCCGAATCAAGAATAGAAGGGAGATCGTTATTTGCCGGTGTACCCAGTCTTGGAGATAATAAACCTAAGAATCTCCTGCAGCTAACTGGCAGAATTTTGTTGGCATTTATGTTTACCACGCTGATTCGCTTTGAGATATCATTCCTACAAATCCTGCAAGATATTCTTGGAAGCAGTCTAATGGTATTGGTAACTATCGGATATAAAACAAAACTCAGTGCGTTATTACTTGTTTTGTTATTGTCTGCACTGAACCTTTACCACAATGCGTGGTGGACCATTCCAGAGTATAAAGCACTTAGGGACTTCCTTAAATATGACTTTTTCCAGGTAATCTGAGAATCATTAAATCTCAATCATTATTAACAATCATTATTACATCAATTGATAGTTTATTAATTACAAGCGTTGAATGTAAATTTTTATTTTTTTCAGACATTATCAGTGATTGGTGGCCTTTTAATGATAGTTTCTTTAGGTCCTGGAGGTGTATCAATGGATGAGCATAAAAAAGAGTGGTAGATGTAGTATCAACTGAATATGCATCATTACATTATCATGACCATTAAGTAAAAAAGTCTCCCATTCCTGTTCCTTTGTATGCTCAATGAAATTTCATTGTTTATTGGACAAAGAGCAATTCATTTTAGATTATTCAATTTTGGGTAAAGGAATTGTTAAAGTATAAGTTTAAATTTTTGAGGACACAATTACATGAAATTAAAAAAAAAAAAAAAGGAAAGAGAAAAGTGAAAGAACTCCAGAATAATACTGTTTAAGAAGAAACAAAATGAAGACAGCACTAAGACTAATTTATATAATCAATAACAGCATTGTACATATGACACTACATTTATCAAGGAAACAAAATATATTTTTTCTGTGTGTTTTTAATTTTCTCTCTGTTTTTGGTCTTGAATATCCTAGTCGGATTTATATGCATGATGTTAAAAGTCAATGAATTCTTCCTGTAGAAGCATATACATTTAAGTTACCTTATTATACTTATAGAGAATAAATAAAAATATTAGATTTTTCGAGATTTTTATACAATTAAATTATTGTAAATAAATATTTCGTACCAGAGTTTAGTCGTTACTGTTTATTTATATAGTTTATATTTGTTAATCGATATGTAGTTGTACAGTAATTATTATTAATAACTAAAGACTGAATCGAAAATTTTATATCTTGTTGTGAGTCACTTGATTTATCATTTTCGTAAAATACGTTATCCGACGATTCCATGGAATAATAATTTTAATTAAAACTAAATTTTTCTATGAAATTAAAAGTGCGATACGATACAATAAAAAATAACTTATAATAGCAAATTGAATATAACGATTTATACTACAATTTATTCTAAGGAGGTTGAACTTCATGTCAAAATTAAAAAAGTATTATGAACTGTATGTTTATATGAATTGATTTTCTCATGCATTTCAAAGCTGATGGTTCTAATTATATTCAGCTTTAATTTTGGTTCAAATTTTGAACACAGTTTACGAAAAATTGAACATTGTTATTAGATGATCAATGCTTCGATCTATTGAGGAAAATTTGTGAACGATTGCTACCATCTATCAGAGATTACTGGAGTTAAAGTCGGTTTATTTATTACCGACTTTGATTAATATAGGTGCTGCCATCTGTCGGATATTTCCTGTTTAGCCTTTTAGTTCCAGGCAAAGTTGCAACTTGCTTAGATGACAGCATTATCGATAGACAAGGAGCACAACAGTGAATGACAAAGATAGACTTATGTCGTGACTTATAACGTGATAGACAAGGAATGCACTAACGAGCGACAAAGACAGCGATAGATTTTAGTTCCATCGTTTCACCGCTACGCGACGCTAGCATTTCAGTGTCCATAAATCAAGCGAATTTTCATTTGATTTTGTATTAGATTATTGAGATTTCTTACAATTTCTATTTAATCGAAAATGAATATTGCTATTTGATATCTACTGGAAGAAAATGTTCAACTATTCAAATTTGGGTTATTATATTATGAAGATACATTTGGTTCTAACATTTTTATTTCACTTCTTCACACATCTATTACAAAAAAAAGCTATAACATTCGGTCCAAAATTTCATACAGATTTTACAAATGTTTAACATAACAAAAAGAGAGAGAGAGAGAGAGAGAGAGAGAACTAAAGAGATATTCTCACGATAGACTATATGGAATAATCGTAGGGTACGCACATCAGTCACATGTCAATCGTATTACATAAACACGTGGTTTTAAAAGCGCGTGTCATAGCGCAATAAGAAAAATATATACAGAAAAATATGATCGATTACATAATAAATCGAAACGTAGATGCGTTACGTTTACTTCTTCTCGAGTACAGCTCAAGTACTGAATCTTTTTTCTCTTCCGTCGAGAAACAGTATAATTAAAAAAGGGATCTCGAATATAACGGTTACATGTGTGACAATTTTCGCTTGCTTACAAATGATATGCTCAGTACACCGAGTTTCGTTCTCACGATCAGTATGAGTCGCAAATTACTTGTTATACGTATATCTTCGTTTACATGATATTAATTTCCTATACGTACGTATAGAGTCCTATTGATGAGACACATAGAATATAAATGCCATTCGATATATCTTTGTCTTATACTATAATTTTGCGCCGCTAGGGATATAAGAAATCGTAGCTTCATTGTAATGTTTGGAATATGGACTAGAAATGGATTGATCCCTTAAATGATTACTGTGACATTCGCGATACGTCTACTCTTTGATTTTCCACGATGGGAGAATTTACACAGTTTTCGTGGCAGTTCTATGGTAACTATTAGGTACATTTTATAATAATACGAGCGTGCACCACAAAAATAGTAATAAATTGTAATTGTATCTGGAAATCAAATTTAATCTTAATTACAGTTAATGAAAATTCTAATAAAACAAAGTATTAAATATATGTACAACGTATGTACTATGTGACAAAAACCATAGAAAATCTCTAAAGAGAAGAATTCTTATATACAATATTATTATCGTGAAAATTTGCTGAATTGTTTTGGTCAAAAATTTTATTTAAGGGATGAATCCAATATGATACCCAATGGTATTTGCACTTTATTAAATTGTTCATAAAAACGAAGAGCAAGAATTCATATTTATGTACAAACAGCATTTAAAATTATTCAACTTGAATAAATTAGCAGACGGATTGCCAAATAATTGTCATAATTTTTAATTCGATTCTACAGTGCATAATATTCTTTTATCGAATTCCTTCAAATTTTGATATTTAACTTTTGAACAAGATGCTTAAGTCGAGCATTACAATTTCGTGCAATTTATTGTTTGTACAAAGCAGCAATAAAATATAATAAATAAAAGGAGAAAAAAAAACAAACAAGAAACAATACATTCTGATTTGATACAATTGATTCTATTACTTCCTTAACTCCGTTAAAAAATATAATTTTTGATTGTTGGTAATTTTGATCGAGAGAGACTAATTCGGAAGTTCCAAATTTTTGTTCTGTATATACGTTTGATTTTATTCGCGGAACGAGGTAGCAAAAAGTACTTTTCTTCTTCGTTAAATAATGCAATATCAATCGACGGTGATAGACGATTGCATTAGTTTCTGTTTAAAATTTTCCAAACGATCATTAGTGAATTTTATTAAGTGCGATGTTACTACATAATTTAACATTATAAGTTCTATCTGTGTATATGTATGTATGTGTAAGAAGTGTATCCTTCATACAATAAATACACTCGTTGTCAGTCGAAACGTTATTCGAGAGGAATAATATTCCCAATCAAGTGCCGTATAAACCAATAAATTATCAAGAGTGTAAAAAATTATTAAAGCAAAAGAAAAAATTATTTTCAAAAATATCGACAATGAATTACTGTATTTCATGCTGCTGAACAAACGAACAAATTACATCATTCGCCTTTCGGATATTTCCTTTTCGATGCATACATATAAGCTGTTCGGATTACTGTCATCCCTACACAGCAATATAGTATCTTGTGGATATGTTCGTTTTTTTTTTTTTCTTCTGTCATTGCGATAGTTGATACTTTTACGAATGTATCTTCGAGCGTGTGTCAATCAGAAGTATCAATAATCACAGCAACTATCGATTATCAGTACTTTCTTATACTTACCATCGTACCTATTTAAATGTTAAATTACACATATAATCTTTTGTCGTTATCGATAAGATAACACATTAATAGTAATTATTACTTGATGCTTAGCGATTGTTTTTCTCATTAGAACAATACACTCAAAACATTTGACATAATTGAAATTCGGCGAGAGTTATTTGACCCATATTTGAAACGTATCTTTTCTTTTTCTCTCTGCGAAAATGTACGTAGTAACAGATCAATGAATTAATTAATCGGTCGTCAAAGTTATTGTATAATGTATGTGTCGTTAAAAAACGCAAATATCTCTCGCCACAGGAATATCGATATATGTACATACATATGCCATAATCAAAGAGGGTCGCGTTTGCAGGGCTTCGTAACATTAAAATCGTTTTTGCACAAGGGTAAGTTCAACAGCGATTGCTTTAGAGTCTATTTCCATTTATAGACTGTTTTTGAAAGCTAGTAGCTACGTTCAGCAAACGGTAGAAAAAACGTGACTTTATATTGTTGCTCATGCTAGTTCATACTCAAGTCAAACTCGAAAGAATACAGCAATATTAACTAATAAGTTGTATACACTTATATAATTTATATCATTGATAATAAGATAGATTTGGCAGTAACAATCACTGGAGAACTAAATGCATACATAATTTTAATGTTTTCGTATATATTGATTGTTAAATTTTTAATTGGCTCATTTATTTTGTAACTATGTAATTGCATAATTCATGCCATTGTATTATAAAATATTATTTAGTAATCACGTAAAAGGAATTCAATAATTCTAAATAGACTACTTCAAACAGCGTGATTTCATTCTGAAGTTACATAGTTTGTGAAATTGAGCGTAAATCTAAGAAGCTAAAGAAAGGACAAACAATGAAATTTTCAACATTTTTACATCTTTGTTTAGCATTTAAATCATAGTAATTCATTTCAATAATATATATACTGAATGTAATTATTATTTTTATTCTTTGGTGAATAAAGTATGGATACTTCAATAATTATAAAAATTCTTAGTACAGAAAGTGGACCGCGATATTAAATTCCTCTAACCATAGATATGTACGGGTATTTATTACTTTAATTAATAATTAATGTTATTATTGTAGTATAAAGTATAAAATAAAAGAACTTCAAAAATATCTTATTATCAAGTCAATTTGTTTTTCTCGCAGTTTGTTCGCCTACCGTGGATTAGCCTAATATTTCTTTATCTAATAAAATAACTGATCAAGTCTAAGTTTTTCGTTGCATATTCACTGTTTTTTTTTTATCTCACTCATGATTTTGTAGCGTTAACGTTTATCCTTAAATTATATGCATACACATATGTTTGCGCGAAATTTACAAGAGAATTCTATTATGTAATAGTAAATCGAAGAAAAATATTTGTAATAAAAAATAGATGCAAAGGCGATCAATATAATTACATTGTACATTTATAAATACACTTTCACTCGAGATATTTCGTTAAAAGAATTATTGACAAAATTTTAATAAGAAGAGATTTCAAAACATACGTACATGTATAATACCAAAAATTGAAGGGACAGTGTAAAAAGAAATGGCATAATGAATTTTAGAAAAAAGATGACAATGATTGTATTAAAAAAAAAAAATTACAAACAAAAGAACAATGTTGAACATGATATTAGATATGTCAAAATGATGCAGCGAGATAAGAATACACAAATTCCTTATGACGATAGAAAATTATAGTCTATCTTACAATACGAATAAAGTTTTTCAATGGCATATAAACAGTAAATACCACAAGTGGATCTGTATTTTATCTTATGTTCCGTAAATGAAATTTTAAATTATAAATGGCAAGTTTTTAATTCATTTCTTTTTTTTTTGTCATAAGGAATTTATGTATATCTGTTTACTGCACGACTTATGAATAGCTGGCAAAATGAATTGTGTATTTAATTTCGTCAGTTAAATAAAAATAACATAAAGGTCATGTGCTCGCTATTAAGTGAGAATGTAATATGGCATCACAATGATTTCTGTCAACTTAAAAATTATATGAGATTAATTACGTCACGTGTAAAGATAATTAGAGACAATATACTGCTGTATATACAATTGCGAATAATAAATGGGCACTCACATACATACAAGAAATTATGAATACAATCAAACTATTTACAACGTTAATAAACCTTTCCTTAACTTTAGATTAGACGAACCATCCTTACACATATACGAATTATTAAACATAAATGTTTTGACTTTACACACATTTGCACATTCGCTCTCATATTATGAAAAAAAAATTCAGGTTTATCGTTATATTTATAGTTATTCGTGAACTATCGGCGCAACATATGTCATTGTTTGATTAAAAATTCATAATTAAGATTGATTTCATTCCTTCTCTTCCTCTTCCAAAATGTTTCTAGTTGCGATTAACGGAGTGCATCTATTTTTATGGAAACATGGTTTATAACGTCTATTACTCTTTGTTAATTAATATTGAAAGCTATATTACGTATGTATATTTTGGTGCATGTTTAGAAATTGACAACTGTTATCGAATTTATATACGTATGTATACAATAGCAAACCTCTAACTACATTTTGAGTCTAGATCATGACTGTTTTAAGTTTTATTTCCTCCTGTGTTTAATGTTTTTAAATTTTAATTAACGGCATGTTTATAAACCGACGCTAACTATTAATTGCTTAGGCCCTCTTTTTAATATGAATAAAAGTGTACAATCGTACGTAAAACGTAAGATCATACGTTAACATGCAGATTACGGTTCACGTTTTATGTGTCTTAAGCCCGATTATTATAGTTTCGCCCACGAATTTTTGTATACGAGATATATTTATATTATTAAACGTGAGATCGGAGAAACGTTAATAGGTAGATATTCATTCATTCTATAATATGAGGCACACAGACAGCCATATATCATTACAGCGATTTCATTTATCATAGAAAATCAATTAGACTCGATGCACTCTATTAAGTTTCGACTTACTAACAAAGAGTACGAAAATTATAGGAGCAACAACATGTTTTTCCTTTTGCTATTCTTAATTTGATGAAATTAATTCAATCAGATTCTTTCACTCCATCGGAATGTATTGTGAAAGAAACTCTCATTATCATCGCTAAAAACATACAGAAACTAATAAAGAAATGGAAAATATTCAGAATTAACGGCGAAAATGAAAAGGCGATGTGAATAAACTTTCGATTAAATTCTTCAGCTATAATCTTGGGTTTTTTTTTTTTTTTTACATTTAATTTACCTACACACTTTTAGGTAACCATTTGACTTAAAGCTGAAAGCTTGGATACCTATTAACGAGTTTCCAACAAAAAAATGTTTCCTAGAATCATATACAATAGTATATGTAACAGTTACGCTCAGTCCTGCCATGTGTTCAGAGAAGCGCATCATTTCTGCACTAATCTGAGACTACAATAGCTCTACATTAATCAACGTAATTGGTGTTTTTCCTTGCAAAGTCAACAGAAGTATATCTGTGACGTTTAAAAAGTTTATCTATCTACGATAAAGCTATATAATGGACGTTTACATATATATCTAAGTAAGTTAAAAAAGAGAAAGAAGAAAATGAATGACATTTACTACTTTTTACATATCGCTGATATGAAGCAAATAAATAAATAGTTTGTGTGTGTGTGTGTGTATGTATAGAATAGTTAATGTGTGTATCTGTGGGGTTTCTTTCCCATCATGCCACGTTAAGCATCGTTACAGCTGTATTATTTAAGAATACATTACGTAGGTCCATAGCTAACCCGACTTTTTTTTCCTTATTAACCTTATTGCAAAAAGGAAAAGACTACAAAAATACATTGAGACATGATTGATCTAGCCAATTCATTAAAGTCTCCCTAAACGTGTTTCGATTCAATCGATATCCATACACGCAGTTTATATTTTTAAACGAAACAAATACATCAAATTTTAATTTGATCTAGATGACTATTCACATTCTTTTTTGTATTTTTTCAATATAGATTGAATATTTAAATTTCCATAAATTAAAATACAACCTCACAGAGGCTGTTGAAACGGGATAGACACATCTAACCCTTTCACCGCCCTTAGAGTGTTGTATCGTTTTCGTTCGACTCGTAATTAAGCAAATTTATCTAAATATCATAAATATAAATATTCTAATTCATTGGTTCAGCTTTTCGATTTTGAGACGCAGGCAGTGAAAGGGTTTGATATATTCTAGTTCTGTAACTGTGTTTTCTTTCCACCGCGCGGCTTAATACTCTCTGAAATCTGCCACATTGCCTCCTCACAGAGGAAATCACTGAAATTATTGAAGAACGTTATTATACGTTCGTGTTTCTTAAACGAATACGTCCTGCAATAAGTAAAAAGTTCAGTTTAGAAATAGCACTTAGAAATATATTTATTATTTTAAAAAATGGTTAAAGTTGCGAACTTACCCCTTTTTGAACCTCTTCATATTTTCAACAATATTAAATTGTTGCCATCTTTTTGAAAAATTTATGGTACCATCCGGTAACAGATCACTATTTCCAATATGCACGAATGTAAGATCTTGTAACACAAGTCCACTGTAAGTAAAAAAATTGTTTCATATGTTCGTAATATTTTAGGTGAACAGCGCTTTTCAATTATTAAGATAAAATAATTGACATGTACTTACATGTACGGAATACATGGCGGTTGTGTTTCTGCCAAAGCTTGTCTATAAGCTCTGAAACTACTAGAACTATCAATAAGAGCACAATATTCTTTTAAACCCTCCGTAATATGTTTTTGCCATTCAAGCCTTCTAATAGGCGCGCTATCTAATGCAGAAAGCAGGGCTAAGTAACTGTTGAAATTATTAATTTTTCTAAGGTGCTTCATTATTTTAATAAATTTAACAACATATTTTTCCCTGTCCTTCGCTTCATTCTCTAATCTGTGTTCCAGTATTCTTGATCTAGCCCAGTACGACATTTTATTAAAATGTTCCGTGAACCTAGTTAAATTTGGGCTTCGTTCTTCGTTCTGTTCTTGAGCCCAGATTAGCACTTCCGGAATCTCAATTTTCATGAATAAATCAGCATCTAACAACGTCATTTGTTCTGCAATTTGTTCGCTCTTAAAATCGAGAAGGGAAGCTTGCTTTGTTGTCACACTCAATGAAGAAAGAATTGGTTGGGTAGATTGTAACTGTTTCGCGGCATGTTTTTCTAAAATTTTAACACGCAAAGCTTTCGCCATAGTAAGATCACCGCTACATACTAATTGCTGTACGAATTCCATTAGGGTTTGCAAAAGGGTATCATCGAGATCTGACATGCTGAAAGAAGTTAACATTTTTATAACTATTAAATATTACGAAATATAAAAAAAGATTTAAACAATCGTGAGGAATTTGTTAGTGAACTTACGTTAAATCGCTAACAACTCTAACTAACAAGGAAAATGCTTCACGAGCTGCTCTTTGTTTAATAACATCAGCAGAACAAGAAAATCGCTGATGACGTTTATGTAATTTTTGAATTAATTCCAGTGGTTGCATGAACGTTCTATATGTTGTTAAGAACGCTTCTTGATACAAAAAGTCTGTAAATAAAACAAGCATCCAAATAAATTGAAAGATATACGAATTAAGAATTAATATGATATTTATTGATAGACGAACAACAATTTTATACTTTGTACATTTTAAGTTAACTTATTTCAAATGCATCTAACAAATTATTACACTGACCTGATTCTTTCTCATCTATGAAGCATGGAAAAATATGAAATACATTATAGCCTTTAATGAAGATATATTGATTGTCCAATATTTGAATAAAATCTTACCATGTTTATTAGCTTTGGTTGCATGAATTAACAGCGCATCAGGGTGACCGCCTCTTATATCCGGTCCTTCCTCATCCGATTTCTTGAAAACTAAATACTTGCCAATATCCAGTTCATCCAAAATGCTATCGTCTTGATCGACATCTCTTAAGTCCAGGGTATTGTCATCGATTGAAATCGATGACAAAGCATTACTAGCAGGTCTTGAGGATGGTAATATCGTGTCTAAGGCAACGTTATTCTAAAAATTTCGATTAGTAGTATCTTGTGTGATACAAATTTGTGTTAACATACGCGGGCCTGTAGAATAATTACCAATTTCACTGGAGTCGAAGGTGTTAACTCTCTTTTATCATGAATGCAACTAGATTCCTCTACTTTCACTGGAGTTGATGTTACAATTGGGTCGATCGTATGAATGCTTTGCATGCTGCTGGTTGGTTTTGGCGAAATTGGCGGAGGCGTGACATTTGATTTAATGGAACGGGATCTCTTTGGTGGCAATGCGGGTGGGAGACTAGAATTATTTGCTACTTCTGTTACTGATGGTGTCATCGTTATGAAGGTACTGAAACGAAATATAAAAAATACAAGAAAACACATTGTACATTTTGTCAAGCATAGGAAGATGCGCAAAAAATTGATGTCAAACCACATACTTTGAACTATCGTGTAACGTAGTTATAGTATGTGCCATAAAAGAACACGATTGTGTCGTAGTAAGGGCCATTTCGTGTTGCTGCCACTCTGCTTGCATTGAATTATAAGCTGCCATTGAATGACGGGTTCCAAGACCAGAGATGAAGTCATTGTTACTATGAGAACAATTCCCAAACATCTCCATGTATGCCATAACTGAAATAGATACCAACATAGATTTATATAATTTTAATGTATCAGGCAATATAACATATTTATAAAAAATAAATAAAAAATATGGTTTCATATATACATACATACATACATACATACATATATGATATACATATATATATGATATATATACATATATGATAGATACAAGCACGATTCATGTTAAAATGAAATATCAAAGCACAGGTATGTAAAATACAGAAAAACACTGATGCACAAGCATGTACCTCGATAGTATAGATAATGTAAATTCGTAAGTACGAGATATGTATGAACTTACTGGAATAAAAGTGAAATTTTTTAAATAACATTTTCACCACGATTAATTACACTCTTCACGATTAAACTAAGTGGGATAAATATTATAATAATGCAAGCATGAACAAATATCATGTATATTGAAAAAAATTTCAAATTACAGAAGATATATCCCATCGTTGATTCTTTACGTACAATTCTGGAAACGAAAACTAAAGTCAGCTGGCTTAACTCCAGAGTTAAAGAAGCACAAGTGTTAACTGACTATTAGCAAGAAAAGGTCAATTTAATTAATGGAACAATAACGACGCCCACATAAGTGATTGAAGATTAGTTTCTACGGTTAATGAAATTTAGAACTATTATAAAGATGTTAATGCAAATAATAAATTTATGAAATATGATAGATTTAAATTAAATAAATATACGAAATTTGATTTTATATTAAAAAAAAAATATGGTAAAATGTAATTAAATCATAATCATAATTATTCTTTATGTAGGAAAAAAAATGTATGCATTATTCTCCGTGTTTATATCAATTATATAAAAATATAAGCCACGAAAAAGCCCAAGGTATGAGTAAAATATCCAAGCTCGATATCAAATGAAGTCATGTTGGTCATTTCGACAAAATGAGATGAAAAGTAACGACGAGAACATGCCGCAAAAAGCTAGGAGCTTAAAAATCGTGTATAATTAATGCGTGAAACGAAGGGTTTCAACTTAGCGTGAACGTGTTTGCTGAGGGATAGCTGATTTGTGTGGGCAGGATCCCACTTACCAGAATATGCCACTGATTGGAACACTGGGGGATACAAAATATTGTATCAGTTTTAACCTACTATGTGAAAGAAAAATTCTGAACGACTATTCTAATATAATCTAGATAATGTCTAACATAATTTCGTCTAATAATTGTTCTTTTTAAATTTAAGCAACTTCATTTTTAATTGATATTATAATTAAGTCTTCCAACAGCAATAAAGCAACATGGTATTGAATATAGTATTGAATGTTATAGTATTGCTGTATTGCTGTTGTTTATCATGAACTATGATTTGACTTACTGTGTCTTTTCTTGAGAGGAAGTGGAGGAGGTTTACTAGCATCTGAACTATCGCCGTTATTAGTATGTAAACTACAGGTTGATAAATGCTCATTTTCAGGTACATTGTCGTACTGCGATGGCTGACGTTCTTTCCTTCGTTTCGACCGTTTTTCTGGCAAAGCTGGCGGCACACCATTAGCGTCCGATGAAGAAATCGATTCCACTTCCTACCAAACATGGGAACTCACATTTAAAAAAACACATACTTTTATATTTGCAAATTGTTAATCCATGATGTATTCTATTTGTAAATTTTCTTTAAATTATTGTAAAAATACAAAAAAATAACATACAGAATTTTTACAAATAATTATTTTATAAAACATTAAACTTATATATTATACTTTGGTTTGTAAATGAACTATTATTACGGCAAATAATAAAAATCACAAAAAATAAAGTGAAAATATGAAAACACCAACATTTACCAATTTTTCTAATGCCGCAGAATCTCCAGTTCCGGACATATTTGATGCGCTAACAGTACTTTTCGAGCTAGTCATTGTTTTTTGAGTAAAAATAGACCCGTTACTATCTGAAGACAATTTCGTTTGGGAAAACGATTGTTGCGAGTTGAACGTCTGGGAGTTATAACTAATACTACTTTGCTGGGAAGATCTTTTGGACGTCATACTAGAGGTAGTATAACTTTGAGATGAACTTCGTTGTGAATGCATTGATACGAAACCAGATTCCTGTGTCTGCGTTGACAACCTTTCCATTTTTCCTTCTATACCTAAAACATAATTTTCACACGATTCATTACGACACAGTAAGAATTTTCATTTGAATATTCTTTAACTTTCTTACACAAGTATGTTTCTAACGTTTCCCAACTCCTATTACCGGACATGGTGGCGTTTGTGTTTTCACAAAAACAACAATAAACTAATGAACGAACCGAAAAGAAGAATTCCACTTCGTTACACTGACTCGAATAAAGATCTATACTATACTGCTTGTTCACGTAGTCTGAAGGCCTAACACCTACGTTACCTGCTCCACTAGCTATTTGAGGAATTCTTGCGTAATTTTAGCTCTCACATTTTTTTCTATACATTTATAAATGTGCACCGTCATCGGTACTGCCGTTGCTTCACCATCACACTACTGGCGAAGATACGAATTTTCTATTACTCACCGGTAAATGGATTAAGCATTTCTTGTGGAGTTTGTTGACCCAATAACATGGTACTTGGTATGTTTGTTTCAGAACCGTCCCAACAACTACAGTTTGAACTATCGTTAACTTGCATGCCTATAAATGTGAAAGAATAGTCAATATATGTAGTTGCTTTTCTCATTTTCTGTGTAATGATTTTAAAAAGTTGGTCCGATAAAAACACTATTGATTAATATTTTTTCTGATTATATCATAGAATTTTTTAACGCAAATTATTTGATTTTTAAAGCTACAATCAGTCTGCATTCTAAAGTTCTTTCAACAAAACTGATTCCACGATCGAGACAAACGCGGTTAAAAACTATTTCGCTGACTAAGCACCTAACATAATGGTCATTTTGACACAAAAGGACATGTGCAGTTCTACCTACCATTACCTTCTTGGAAAGGTTCTAATTTCATTGTCATAAATTTAATATAAATCTTTATAAAGTAACTATTTATTTAACTTATCAATTGAAGCAAGACCGAGTTTTTCTTCCCAAAAGATATTGTTCACATCGATTCGAAGAGAATCATTCATTACCCTGGATAGTAGCCATCAGACTGAGATCCATACTGTCGTTCAGAGACTCGTCGTTTGGTCCCATTATCGCCCGTATCTCATCCTCGTCACGAGAATGGTTCAGGGCTGAATCCAAACTACCAGCCGACGCGCTTAGAAGAGACGACGAATCCTCTGGAGATCGACTTCGTAGGGAAACACCGTCAAGACTAGATGCTAAAAGACCTTCAGATTCATCGAGCAACTGTTGGGCTCTTGTTCTCCGTTTCGGTGGCAATGGCGGCGGTGTGCCGGAGGAACTATTTTCCTCCGACAGACACACATTAGTTCTGAAAATCATCGAGACGTTACTTTTTCAAAGTCACAGTCACTTTAAATGGAACTAATTTTTTCCAACTAGACACACAAGAGTACATGCACTGTTACTATCTACTACTATAAGAAGCTTAGGGAACTACCTCTCGGGGAGTGGCGGTTTTGGGGGAGGACTAGAATCCCTTAAAATCGACTCTGAACTATGCGAGCTACGGACCAAACTAGTAGTCGCAGCGGTCTGCTCTAAAATCTGCCTTTCCCTCGGGGTTAGCGGGATATCAGGTAAAGAATTTCTTTGTGGCGTCAATTCCGATCCATAACCGGACGTTCTGAAAACGTGATTCCGATGGTTCATCCTCAAATTCTACTGACTATGACGGCACAAAAACATGTACAAACTTTCGACGCTAGTTGTGAAACAATCGACAGAACGTGAAATTTATTGAAAATTACTATTACCGAGTAATAACGAGAGAGACAACACCCACCTATTACTATTCGTAACGGCGGCGGCAGGTTTCTGTCTGTTGGCGATCTTCTCATTCGCCAGGGCAACCAAGTTTTTCACAGCTTCTTCGACTAATCCTATGATGTGTGTCACGTTCTCGGTGTCCAGCGCAGAGGACTGGTCACCGTGTAGCAGCACGTCGTCGCAGAGTTTCAGTAATTGTGCTAGGGCTTGATACACTTGATTTGTCGCTGATCCCAGAGTGGAGCTTTATCAAGAAAATGTGAACGATCGTCGAACATTATTCTCTAACGATAACGTTTAACAGCAAATTTCGAAATATACATCCTAGCTTGCAAATGATCTTAGATCACGTAGACAAATTCTTCATTTCAAAGCCAAGAAACTCGGAAGGAGTAAGGTCACGTTTGATACCAATCAAATGCTGACTTACCTGTTCTCGTAGAGGAGATAGGACTTGAGCACAGTGTGTATAGTGGTGACAGTATCGAGGACGATGGTGCCGTTGCCGGGCAGCATCTCGAGCTTCTTCTTCGACACGACGTCTCTGAAGTGGAGCAGTGCCAGCTGCACCTGTCGCACGTGGATGTGCAGGTCACGGAGGGGATTCTTGTCGAGGGTTGTCGCGGCATCGGTGCAGCCGGGCGCGCTTTTGTCGCGTGGTGTCCGCGGCGAGGAGGGCGAGGCGGCCCTTGTGGCCGCTCCGCTGCCTCCACCTCCGCTTCCGCTACCAGGCGAGCGCATATGAGAGAGCTTCTCCAGGAAGTCCTCCTTGAAGGAGCGCGCACGACGCGCTAGTTTACCGCCGCGCGCCTTCCCGCCGGAGCGCTCCTCGACTTCTGCAATCGACAACGAAATTCAAATGAGAGAGTTTATGCAATCGACAACGAATTATAATTGACATCGTAATAATTCGATAACTGATGTTTTATTGTTGGAGCTTTAACGTTCGAGCTTCTCGTTTTATTTCGTCTCTTAAATTTTTTCACATTTTTTTTCTCCTACGCGCCAATAGAGCTTGGAATTCAGAAATTTGTTATTTTCTCGCTGCACGATCGGTAGTTTGAAATAAATATTGCAAACGACAAACTTCACGGTAGAAAAACGGACGTAATATCCGTAGGAAAAAAAAAAAAAAGTAGATTAGCCGAAACGGCGACTACTTTTCGATCGCGCGGCGAGAGTTCTGCGCTGAAAAATTTCGCGGCAGTGTCGCACCGTTGATATATAAAACCGATCCGTGAATTCACTATGCGAGCAAACAAATATATCGCGAACGAACGCGAGCAAATATTGAAAGTCAAAACGACGACCGGCGCTCAATTGATCGATTTTTGAGAAGATTCGAACGTGTAGAGGGTAGGGCTTCCGATTCAATTTACCTCGGGTTCTTTTATTTTTTTATTTTAAAGATTCTTTTTGCTATTTTTAAACGTGATTTGCTATAAGTTATTTATAAATTATGAAATGTATCGTAATTATGTACAGCAGAAATATATCTAGCTGCTCAATTTAGAAATATTATTATATGTTATTATATTATATTTAAGAAATATTATTATATATTATTATTATATTGTATTTAATAAATTATTGCAGATCTAATGCTTTGAATCTTCTCTCTTAGCTTGATTCTTACCTTCAGTATCAGTCGAAATAATTGAAAAGTTCTTTCGATCAAAACAAAATTCTTTCCAAACGAAACCACTATGTATAATTGCACAAACATCCCGGAACTTAAAACACCCCGCAAGTAACCGATAGCGGATACATCGCCCTATCGAATCTGTTTCTTGATGCACGGATCATTACTAGATTATTTGTCTGAACTAGCACGCAGAGAGGGTTGAACTCAGTCATCTTTGATGGTTCGCGTTTTGCAATAGGGGAAAATGCAACCAAAGCAACCTCTCCATCTCCTTCCACGTACGTAGGTGTGTATACACGCCACTAAATCAAGTTCTATTCACGAATTCCGATTGAAACCTCAATCAGACATGATTTGCGTTAAAGGCACGGCTCGGATGGCCGACAGAGATAATAGAAAACACGGAGGACAAGGTGGACGAGAGGGCACGTAGAGACCAACGGTCGATGCAAATTGCCGTGATTGACTGGATTCACAGAACACCGTTCGATTCCTATACGCCACGTCTATGGGGGGTCCGTGATCGAGGCAGTTGCAGCCACTGTACACGCGGTTTGTAAATAATCAGAGTCTTGATCCTTTGACATGTGAATTTAATTTCGAATGACGAAAAATCGTTGTTTATTTAGGGCAGTTTAATGCGCTCTCCTGCGCTGGAATGACGTGCCACGCAAAAGAGAATTTTTCGTCCCAAAAATTGCAATATTTTCTCAGTTTTCGGTATATTTAAGTATATATATATATTATATATACTTAAGTATATATATATATATATATATATATATATATATATATATATATATATATATTATAACCCAGACAAAGCAAATAATACATTTATTATTTGTCAATAATTTCTATCCAGTGACATCATACCAACGAGTTTAAAAGGAAAAGAAAGCGACGAATTATTGTATACGGTTCGGTCACTCGTTATGGTCCGCAATCAGTTGCCAGCAAGAGGTTAACCACTTGCGCTGGAATGACGTGCCACATCGAGAATTTTTTGTCCCAAAAATTACAATATTTTCTCAGTTTTAAGTATACTTAAGTATAACTCAGGCAAAGCAAATAATAAATTTATTACTTGTCAATAATTTCTATCCAGTGACATCATACCAACGAGTTTAAAAGGAAAAGAAAGCGACGAATTATTGTATACGGTTCGGTCACTCGTTATGGTCCGCAATCAGTTGCCAGCAAGAGGTTAAAAATTGTAATATTTTCTCAGTTTTAAATATATTTAAGTATACAACCGAAAGCAAATAATAAATAGTAAATTTACATACACTTAAAACTGAAAAAACATTGCAATTTTCGGCCAAATATTTTCAACGTGTGTGATACATCATTACAGCGCAAGAGGTTAAGTAAGTATGTTAATTAAGTCCCCTTGCAGGAGACAGTCGAGCGCAAAAGATTAACAACAAGACGATGATCAGTGAATGCGATCATTGGATGAAGTTAATACGAAGTTGCACGGTAGCATGGTTGTGCATGCATCGCGAGCTTCTCATCAAGTAAACATCACGTCACCTGTACACGTGGCACATGGATGGTGGTAACAAAGAGCCGCGAGATTGGCCAGGTCATCTTTCCATCGTTATCGGGAGCGTGCAACGTGCTCGAAAACGCAACGACCGCGATAACTTTCCACGCGTGTCCTTTTAATCGCGTCACCGCCAGCCATTCATCAGCGTGAAAGCTTCCCTGCCGTGCCGCATCACCTCGAACGCGTGAAACAGAACGGGGTTTGCCCTCGGTTTGATGGAAAACGCGAACCCGCATTGCGAGAGACAGGCTTTGGGGGAACCCCGTTGTCACCGTTGTCGTGACACAGCCATCAATCCGTGTATCCGTGTATCCGTTCGCCACTGTAACACGCGTTTCGCGATCGCCTTTTGGGAATCGGTAGCTCGTCGCTCGATCTTGGATAACTTCGGTGACTTGGATCAACAGCACTGCAACCGTGTCTGAACAGCCGAGACACAAGATTGGTGATGAAGAAATGGCTGACGAGAGTGAATTTTTGAATTGGCACTAATGGATGCGCCAGGTAGATTGACCTCTTACGCTGGAATGACGTGCAACGCACGTCGAGGATTTTTTGTCCCAAAATTGCAATATTTTCTCAGTTTTAAGTATACTTTTATTAAGTGTAACACAGGCAAAACAAATAATAAATTTGTTGCTTCTCAATAATTTCTAACCGGTGATATCATATCGACGAGTTGTTGTATACGGTTTGGTCACTCGTTATGGTCCGCAGATTAACCACTTGCGCTGGAACGACGCGTTGAGACTTTTTTGTCCCAAAATTGCAATGTTTCCTCAGTTTTAAGTATAACTCGGGCAAAACAAATAATAAATTTATTACTTCTCAATAATTTCTATCCGGTGATATTATGTTGTACACGGTTTGGTCACTCGTTAAGGTCCGCAATCAGTCGCCAGCGCAAGTGGTTAAACGAAGCAGACGAGATCGAGGGATTCTAGATTTATCCAGACAACGTTAGGACTTTGCAAGCTTGAAATGAATTTTGAACGTCGAAACAGTGACAATTAATGGAACAGTTCATGGACTATTCGTCCAAGAAACCAAGAGGCGTATACATTTTATTCCGCATTATCATTACTCAAAACAGCATCTAAAACTCGCCTTCAGAAAGCCATTTCCCGCAGCCTCTTACTCTTTCAACGCAAAACAAGCACTGTCGCAGTGACAAATTATAACGAGCTTAGCTCTCTCCAACTTGGTGTTCCACGCAAAAGGTAGGTCTAGCTACCGGGGAACGCTACGCGCAAAACGCTTCTAAATTACGAACGGCGAAGCGCGAGCACGTGGGATTTCGACAAAGCGGAACAGAGAGAAGTGTCGAGCAGCGCTAATAATTGCCTTAGTCGGCTGGAAATTCATTATCCACCAGTAGCTATCGTTAACTACAGCGTCAGGTCGAACTAATGGATTTTGGATTAGCGACGCGCCGATGCGATTTCCCGGGGACCGGAAATTGGGCAAAAAATGAGTGAATTCCGAAACCGGAAGGAATGGCCTTTGGAAATATGACACACAGCTTGAGAATAATATTCTTTCATCGGAATGAATCAACATCGATTAATAAGTTATTGATTAATCTAGCGCAATAAACTAAATAATAACAAATTTGTATTTGGCACCGCAGACGATTCATCCACAGTCTGATTCCGTATTCATCGGGCAATATGCTCTCGCCGTTATTGTCGGCGACAATTTCGCGAAACGATATCGATGTCCCGCGTGACCGTGGTTGGCGTCGTATCGATTCACTCGCTGTCGCTCGCCCCTTCTAATCAAGGAACGAGCCTGAAAATCGTCCGCGATACGGAGAAACTCGATAGCGCTCGGTCTGCGTGCAGCCGCCATAGTGTCGCGAACAAAACGGCGCAGGATGTCCGAGGCGATCTGTACGTCGTCGAGAAGAGGAACAAAACGGAGCGAAGAAACGCTCGTGAAACGAGAGATTGAACAACGATGAACAAAAAGAAAAATATATATATAGAAAGAGAGGGGGGAGGGGCGAAGAAAAGGACAAGGACGAAAAGAGAAAGAAAGAAAAAGACAAAAGGGGAAAAAAAAGAGGATGGAAATTGCGCGAAGGGAGGTATCACGTGTGTATGTACGGAGAGGCGAGACTTGGGATGGTTATCGTGGCCTGTGCGGTTATCGGATACGCGATTTCACGGCAGATCGTAGCTAATACCGAAATGCGGATTTTCCGGGTATTTCGCGGCGGAACCACGGGAAATCAGGATCATTCTACCGTCCGTGGAAAATGGTCTATTAATCAATCGTTTCGCGGTGGCCGGGACTGAATATCGGCCGGAGATCTCGCCAACCAGAGATTTATTGCGACCGCGTGAATGGAGAGTTACGTTTACGTCCAGCTGCAACACATACTAAATTAATTTAAATTCTTAATTAATGAAACTCTAAGAAATTTAATTTCTTAAATAATAAATTAATTTATCAAATCGGAAAGTTCTGCTTTTTCGTCCTTTCCCGTAAAAGTGATCATTGACAGAATATTATTCCTTAGTTTATTATGCTAATAATTATACTAATATCCTATTAGTTTATTATAATAATACTATTATACTATTAATTTAATATTATATAGCTGATACGCTATAATAATTATATTATACTAATAT